AAGGTTACATTAAATCGGTTATTGGTCAGCAGTTTTTCGATCGGTGCGCTACGCGCTCAGAGTGACTATCAGCTGCTTTTGAGCACAGGTTATTGAGTGCTATCGATCGATAACAATGAGGCTATGATGCAAACTTGCGTTCCAGCACGTTCGATTGGGATTTCTGAACTGGTACCTTTCTGATAACTGTTACCCACATTAATTTTTGAAGCGATTACGAAAGGAGGAAATTCGTTCAAGCACGGCAAATCTTAGGTGGCTGGCTTTAAGCCACAAAAGTTTGAAGCAGTTAATTCCCTTGAGGAGTTTAAATAACGCCGTAATGACTATGTATTGTACCTGTCAAACTTTCCGTTGGATGACTTACAATTAGATGCACTGTCGCTCGGATTAGATTATAATATTCCTCCTAGTAAGCTAAACCCTTTGTTAATAGAGGTCCAGTTTGACAACTTCTTCGATCAGTTAACAGACCTCTAGCCGGATAGTGCCGATAAACTTAGCTGGTCTAAAAATAAGTTAACGAATATTAAGTACGGTTACATGATGACTGCAGTGAAGGAAGGATATGCACTTATAAAATGTCATCTTCATGCATTTCGAGCGCTGAAGACCACAGATTTAGTGCTACTTAGACTGGACAAGGGCTCCGGAGCCGTTGCTATGATCACAGCGGATTACGTGCAAAAGATGCAGGTTATACTTAATGAGAACAGCAAATGTAACCGTCTCAACAGAGTGGACGATATTTATAATGTAGAAGGTTGGATCACAAATCACCTACAAATACTTCTTGCACATCGAACGACCGACGAGAGGATGTATAATAGCCTAAAACTGGGTGGATCCACCACGTCGCAAATGTATGGGTTACCGAAGACGCATCAGAGTGGTACACCTCTCGGACCAGTTCTAACAGTGGTAAATTCCCCGCAACACAAACTTGCTCGCTGGCTTGTGGACATTCTTACACCATGAAAGAAGCATGCTATTCCACATAGCATCAATGACTCCTTTGAACTTATCGAAACTCTTGCTAACGTAGACTTGTCAGATAATGCCATGGGTTCAATAGATGTACAGTCGTTGCTTACAAATGTTCCACGTGAGATAATTAATTATGTGTGCGACTTGGCGGAACAGTCAGGTTTAGCTCTTCCAATACCAACTGCGTTGTTGAAAGACACCCTGTTACTTGCACTGAAAACATCCGTTTCCACTTTCGAAACATTTCAAATCCCCAGATAGATTGTGTCGTAATGGGGAGTCCGTTGGGTCCGGTATTAGCGGCTTTCTTCATGTCCATGGTGAAGGCGAAGATGAGTGAAGAAATTTCCCGCTTTTGCTATTACAAACGCTAATGGGACGATATTTTAGTGTTCGGTTCATCAACAACACAGATTAAACCTCTTGTACAGCTTTTAATAGTATACGTACCAATTTGGAAGTAACCAGCGAAGTAGTATGTAACACTTTTTTTGGATGTACTGATTATTCGTAGACAAATCGGTCTCATTAATTGATCTATTTACCGAAAACCAACATGGTCCGGTTAGTACCTGCATTGTATCAGCTTCACTGCAATGCTGTACAAGCGGATACCGCTCAAGACTGTTTAACCGCGCGAGAAGAATGTGCAGTTCTGTTTGACTAAAAGAGGAACAGGAGATGTTGACTAATGTGCTCTTGGAGAACGCTTCTCTTCGCCAGTTTATTGCCAAACATAGACGAAAGTGGCAAAGAGTAGGTCCTCACTGTGGCCAAAAAGCTTTTTCTAGAACTACCGTTTAAAGGTGATTTTGATACCATGAGGACTGCCAAGCACATCATTTCCGCTGTTCATAGGACTCATTACACTCCCGAACTCGTCCTTACTAACCAATTCAGCATGCTGCCTGTTCCCCAACGAAGGAAAGACAAGCTGCATTTACCAGTTCACCTGTGACTGCGGGGCGTGTAACATCGGCCGTACCGAGACAATGTTGAGTTCCGGTGAGGGAACAATGAACAATGATTTCTCACGGGATAAAAGCAAACGCCTGCTACGTCCCGTAGGATGGTTGGGGTGAATACGATGAAAGCAAAATATATGTTGTTCATCTACCGAGCGTCTACCGAGATGAATGCGTTTATCAATAACGTCAGTGTAAAATGTAAATCGAGTGTAAGCATACAGAAATACACGGGATGCAGTGGTCGTTGATGTAAGGCTTGAGAAAAGTACAATATGGTCGCCCACTTTTTGGGTCCATATGACACATAAATCCTGTAGAAGAGCATGATTGGCGTAATCCAAAATGGCGTAATTTAGGTCCCGACGTGTTGGTAGCTAAGAGTAATATTCAACTGTTTTTTGAAAATGTCCAAAGTAAGGGAGGATGCAACTGAGTCTGGGAGTGCGTTCCAGGGTTGGCAAACCCGAAGGGAAAAGTAATTCCGTCGACACTCTAGACGGCTATATTGTTCCCTCAATTTCAAACAGTTACCCCTGAGCTGCGTGCTGTAGCTAAGTTTCAGCAAATGGCGCCACACGCGGTTGGGGTCACACATTATTTGGTACGCAAATATGACATCTCCGTCCAGCGTTCGGTAGTGTCCACTGAAAATTACCCCAGCAACTTCAGCCTTCGTTGGTAAGAGTAACAACGCAGGCCCTTTACATTCTTTGTTGCTCTTCGTTGTGGCGCGTCTAATGCATCTAGGCCGCGCTTCAACCAAGGTTGACAAGCTTGGATAGCGTATTCAACGTGTGGGCGCACGTAGGAATTGTGCAGCGTGAAATCACCCGGTCTTCCGCTTCGTCTACCACCTGTTTACGCAATCCACCTGCCTCATCCATAAGTAGACACTTATTGCCCATTAGTCACCCATCTAACCCTACCACACAAGTCCCAATGTTGTTAAGACATGCTAACTCTCACTTCTTGCGTTTTGCCGAGACTATTGCGAGCAGCCGGATTAAACCGACACTCTGTGTGCCTAATCCTATTTGAAAACTTCCGCCGCCATTTTGTAAAATAAGCGACGTGTTCCAAATCAATCAGTTTCTAAACTGCCATTTCCAGTGAACAGAAGTAGTTACTTCGCTCTAAGTTAAAAATGTATTCCAACCGAGTACAGACGGATGCCTTATCCGTTTGTCTTGGCTTTAAAACGTCATCTCCACAGATACATAAACCTTCCTTTGAGACAAGGTTTAGAATATATATATAACTTAGTTACTTCCTTGATTTCGGCATCATCCGTTAATGCTTCTTGGTTCAAAAAATCTAGTGGACATCGTATAATTTTTTCAATGACCCAATACAGCAGTGGGCCTGCCTTACTGCAAACCATTGCAAATCGCTCCTTGAACTGGGACGAATCAAGGAAGTGGTCATTATAAAACATGATAAGAGTTCCAGAGTTGTTCTTCTTGATAGGCTAGATTAACTATTCAAGGCGGTACCACTATTGCTGACACCATGAAATGCTAGCCAGGTAAAATATTCGACACAGTCCGGTTGGTCGAGAACCTACTGTGTTGTGAATTACATATCTTAGTTTACATAGTTTCATCTCATGTCCTAAATAAACAGTGTGGCTACGGCCAGCCCAGTCTTGCTTGCAGACTTATTCACGGGTGTGATTGAAGAGAAAGTGGACAAGACCATCAAATTGGCAACGTCGTATAAACGCTAGATTTGTCCTGGGTTCGAATGAATGGATTGCACTTGCAACCAATGCGCTCATTAGGGTGCACCAGGATCCCACTGTGACATGCAAAACTGAGAACAATCTTTGTCTCTCATGCTTAGTATAGTGTTTACACGACGACCAGGTGGTTCGATAAAAGAGTCAGTGTACCAGAACGTGAGCTGGATGGTTCAATAGTTAGATCACAAGCACCCTTTAGTCCTTAGTTTGTTTAATTCGAGCCCATATGACGCACTACAAATACACTGGGAGCAAGGAAAGAACCGCTAGTTTACGCTACCTATTGCGATTTATGAAGCACTCCAGTGACACGACGAAACAAAATGGAGAGACAACAGTTCAGAGGAAATCAGTCTTCATTGAGTTGCCGTTCAACGGTGATCACCTCATGTAAGTCACCTAGCAGCGAATAAGCGCCTCAATTAGAAAGACATACCATGAGTCAAAATTACGTATCCACAAGACCACTGCTTAAGTGTTCAGTGAATACACCGGTGCCGAAGCAGTGCATGTCGCATTTCTCATACAAAATTGGGTGTAGCTGCGTCCCGAATTGATGTGCACATTCCAAAGTGGCTCCGCAAACAAATGGAATGTGTAACAGCAGCAACCGGTGACGCAAGAAACAAGGTTTATTCAGAAATTTTGAGGTATTTGTGGGGCACCACTCACGAGGAAAACCCAGATGAGTCAACTACAGTTCTCATGCGCCGTCAAAGGCCCCATTCTTGTTAGCAATCAAATATGCTCAAAAACGATTGACAATGATCCAAAATCTACCGTGGTAGAGTGTGACGTACATGTCGGAAAACTGTTGGCCAGTAATCGATTTCAGGTGACTTTAATTTGAATCCTTCGTTAGTGCTATGCACGTTATCGAACAGTATACACATATAAAACCGTCGTATTCTGGTATTATTAGTTGAAATTATCAAGGGAATTTTAAGCTTCGAAGTAGAGAACGCACAATAAGTCCGCTTGATTCTCGCGCTCACTGTGCGACAGTTACCCTTAACCAACCAAGCCCGGCTGCTAAGCTGGCTCCCGCGTAATTGCTTGCATGGTTTTGCTTCCGTTGATTTTATCTGCTCAGGGTAAATGCTGCATCTTTTACAGACGTTCGATGTTTCACAAATCCATCAGGGAATGGGTACGCTACAATTCGGACTCAGTTACATGCGTAATTCATCGCCAAGAAATTTGACATTCCCTATGTTCCTAGAGGTTCTGTTCATGTGGACGACTGTTCTCTGGGCACTAGTACTGCGCTGCGATTCTCCCTGTTTCTACATGTTCCTTTACAGGTTTGAGCGTCCAGGACGTGAGTGCTTCGGATAATCGCCCCATGATATACGATGGTCGCGGTAGTCTCTCCTTCTCTTCACTGAGTGGTCCATCGTTCTTCGTCCCATTTCGCATGTTTTGGCGATATGGGCTTCAGTTGGTCCGGTTAAAATTTGTCACTAAGTCAATCATGCGGGATTTTTCAAGGTGAGCTGCACCTGCGAGATTGATAGATTAAAATAAAGGGGACGGAGTATGGTTTAATGATGGAGAGTTATTTATTTCTTCGCACCCGCATGATAATCATTCACGTAGACCACAGTCCGAATAGGTCATCACGTGTCCTATATATATATATATATATATATATATATATATATATATATATATATATATAATGGTTGGTTGGCGATATCCGGTTTCGGATTTGCCTGTCACTGTGGCAAGCCACAGGACGCCTGCGCCTGCAGAGGGACCATGGATGGTTTGCGCTGCACCACCCACAGCTCCATCCACATACCCCATATCCAGTGTAAACCCGAAGGAATAAGACGGGGAGGCATGTGGATCGGAGCCACGTTTCATCAATGGAGCCGGCCCACAATCTTTCACAGGCAAACACAAGCACGCTGTATTTAGGGAATCAAGCGCGCACAAGGCAGTGGTGGGACCGTAGTCCGCTCTACACTGAGTGCATGGAAGCACTCTTAGAGCCTAGCACAATCACAAGAACCGTGCAACCTGTCCGCTCCAGCAACGATCAATTGTCTCCTGGAGCCAGTATGGACGAGGTAGTGGGTAATAGACAGGTAGGCACCTTGCCAGCATGCACATCAAGCGCAGGCACACCGGAGATATCAAGCAACAGCCAATAACTTGAAACGACAAGATGAAATAAAATAAATTGGATAATGCATACAGGTACGGAGACATAACTCTTCACAAAATGAGCATATAAAAATGATTACGAACGAATTCGCGATAATTTCAATAGGTCAGAAAACATATATTAAGGAAATACCACCAAAGCGAAATGGTTATCGAAATTAACTGCAATTAGCTTCAGCAACATGTGCAGGTTTACAGAAGGTAGTACAGGTAGACAATAATATGAGAAAGAAAATCATTAGGACGAACTTGAAAACCCACCACCTGAAATAAAGAGACTCAGCATGCAAGCACATGGTTAGTAAATCGAATGCAGCGTACCTATAAACGCTGCGCCGGTTCCGTCTAAGTTCTTTGCAGGACTTGTCGTCACTTCGGTGGTGGTCCCGAGTGGCCTCGCTCATGGCTCACTGGGCCTGCCTGACCCAGGCACTAACGACCGCATGTGCTACAGCACCATGCGCTCGATGTCGATGGAGTGCAAACCCATCGGCGCTTGCCGCTTTCCGCGCACTTGCCGATTCTTCCCTGCATGCATGAGATCTTTCTCCTGCACTTCGGCAAATTGCCTTCGTGATCAGATCGCGCCATGCACACCGATCAACTGCCTTCGATTCCCATGATCTGCAATCAAGAGTAGAACGTGAAAGACTCACTTTGATCATGTCCTGTTAACGTAACTTTGGTTTCCCCCACATGCCGCTTCCCAATACTCAGCTGACCATATCATAGTTGTTTCGGTATCCGCCTCGACT